TCCCTTCCACATCCTTGAGCAGCCACTTCTCACCCCCCTTATCCCTGTAGCTCAACGACATCAGTTGAGCTTAGCCTCAGCATGAAAGGACATCTTACAACCTGAAACATCATTATTCATCTCTGTTCTACAGCTCTTATTAAGTCTCCCCACCCCAAATCTTCACAGCTCCAGCCCCAGGGCTACCCTGTTCATAGAATCATGCCCAACATCTCCTAACTAGGTCCCAAGTGCCCATCTGAGACCTCCTCTAAGTCTTCTTTATGCTCCGCTGGATATGGATAGATCCAAGACCCAGGTCGACCCTGGTATCACCCCTGGTGCACTAGCTCCACTAACACTCTTAGGACATTCATGAATTGTGACCCACACATGGCTACCCATCAGTCTAGACTTTGTTTTCCACACCCCTGTGTAGAAGCCCAGCCTCCCTGGTCCACTAGTTATTCCACCAAATACATGGGTGGCCTGTGCTTTTGCAATATGCCCCCACCCACCCAGACACACTCCTAGAGTAGCCTGCAATCCATTCTTCACCTGACCACCATGGCATATTTAAAGACCTAACTTGAAGTTCCTCCTCCCAGAAGTGTTCCCTGAATACCATGGGGGAAATTACTCCTGCCTTCCTGTTCCCCTTGGACTGGTTCATGCAAATGCCACAGCCCTCCTGGAGTTGTAGTATAATTACTTTGATTGTGTAGCTGAGCCTCCCATTAGAATGGGAGTGTCCTGCAGATGGGGATTTTTAACACATGGAATACAGTTCTATAATCCAGTTCTCTCTATTACCTCTGTAGCCTGAGCGTTTAACAAAGGCTCAACTCATTGAGGGTAACCAGTTCCCTAAATTAATGAAGTATGAATTTTGTATAGGGATTGGAAGATGGGAATTCAAATAGCCTTAAGGGTCAAGTATATATGTAGTCCCACACAATTACCATTTTTGGAGCTCTTCATTCTCTTGATTTTATAATTCTAGATTAACATTTGGTGTCATTTCCTGCTTAAAGGACTTTCTTCCATGTTTGTTGTGGTGTGAGTCAGCACTGGTGACAAATTCTTTCAGATTTTGCATGTCTGAAAAAGTCTTTATTTCCCCTTCACATTTGAAATATAGTTTTGCTGGGTATCAAACTCTAGATTGACAGTATTTTTCTCTCAGTACTTTAAAATGTTGCTTCATTGTCTTCTCACTTGCCTTATTTCTCACTTGAAATTGGCTGTAATCCTTGTTTTTGTTCCTCTATATACAATGTGACCTTTTTTTCTCTACTTATAAGATTTTCCCTACATAATTGATTTCTAATCAATTGTTTTAAGCAATTTGGTTGTAATATACCTTGTGTTAGTTTCCTTTCTGCTACTTGGGTTTAGGGTGGGTTGAAACTCTTAGATATGCTGGTTTTTAAAATTTTATCCAACTTGAAAAAAGTTTAGCTAGTATTTCATCAAATTATTTCTGTCACCCACTCTCCACATGCACTGTTTACTATCCTTTAGAACCTTTAGTTATACACCTATTAGGCTATTCCAAGTGTCCCCAAAGTCCTATAATACTCTTTTGATCATTTCATAATAATTATTTTCTTTTTTTGTTCTGTTTTGAGTAGTTTTTATTTCTGTGTTTCCAGATTTACCATTTTTTTCCCTGTGTTGTCTAACCTACTATTATTCCCCAACAGTTTATTTCTTATCTCAGAAATAATAGTTTTCACCTATAAAATTTCTTTTTAGGTCTTTTTGTATTTCTCATGCCTCAAATTAACTTTTTTTTTTAACTCATGGGATACAGTTCTATTGTTCTTGCATGCCCAAGCTAATGTCTGTGTCAGTTATAGGTCACTTTTGATATGTTGGTCTTCTACTCATTCTGGGTCTTATTTTTCTGTTTATTTGCATGGAAATGGGTACGTTTACTGTCCAATTAGATGTCTAACACTGTGAAATTTTATTTCATGAGGTAATGAATATTTTTGCATTCCTACACATATTTTTAAGTTTTATTTGAGAATGTAGTTGGAAATAATTTGATCTTTTGAGTCTTTCTTTGAAGATTTGCTAACCAGAACCAGAAACATCTTTAGATTAGGGATAATCATTTCTCATTACTGAGGCAAGGTCCTTTTACACACTCTACTTAGTGACTGTGAATCTGGACTTTTTCCAGCCAGATTGGTAGAAATAGGCACCATTTCTAGATCTGTGACCACTTGACTACTGTGACCTCCACTCTGGGGGCAGGGTTTGGTTTAGTTTAGTTTTGTTTTGTTTTTTGCTTGGTAAAAGTAGTCTTCTCACTTGTATAAACTGATTAGCCCTCTACTGAGGAGGGACCTCTGAAACTCTCCAGAACTTTCTCTATCCAGTTTTCTCCCCTCTGGCATCTGCCTGAGGTACTCTAGACTGCTGGACTCTCCGCTCCACCTCCAAGCTGTCCACAGAGGCTGCCTGAGTTCCCTGCTCCCTGCACGGTGGCCTGGAGACTCTCAAAGCAGTGGACAATCACAGGGCTCCTCACCTTAGCTTCCTGTCTGTCATTGTATGGCGTCCAGTGTCTTGAAAATTGATACTTAATATGTCCTGACTGGTTGTTTCTGGTGGTAAAGTAAATCTTATTCCTAGTATTTCATCTTGGTCAGAGAAACAAAGTCTCCATGCATAAGATAAAAAAAAAAAAATGGTGCACCTTAGGATAATCACTTAGGAAGTGGTGAGGACCATGGCCAATTGGGGAGCACAAATGAGACGGAGCTAAATGAGACGATGGACATCAGACCCAGCTGACTGTTGCCACAATAATAGAAAATGGAGCTTGGATCAGCACATCTTCCATTTATTTCTAAAGAAACTGGATTTGTGAGACTTTTCTTGATTTTAAGACACAGCATGGACCAAACCTGTTATTATATCTATGGCTGGATCTGCCCCACCAGCCACCAGTTTGACCCCTGGGTGTTAAGGTCTTTCCTTTAAAGAAAAACTGTGGTTGGTCTCTAGAGCATTCCCTCTCTGCACCCATGGACATGTTCTATAGCTTTACTCTCCATTCTTCAGCAGCCCTCCCTTTATTCATAGGGCATATGTTCTAAGCCCCCCAGGAGATCCTGAACCCATGGATAATACCAGACCCTCCATGTGCTGTGCGTTTCCTATACATACACACCTCTGTTGATATTTAGTTTAGAAACTAGACACAATAGGAGATTAACAATACTAAGTAATAACAAATAGAACAATTATTATAATAATGTACCATTTTAAAAGTTTGGGGAATCAATCTCTCTCTCTCCCTCTCCCTCTCCCTTTCTCCTATATTTTCAAGCACTACAGACCACTACTATTATTCCCCAACAGTTTATTCCTTATCTCAGAAATAATAGTTTTCACCTATAAAATTTCTCTTTAGGTCTTTTTGTATTTCTCATGCCTCAAATTAACTTTTTTTTTTTAACTCATGGGATACAGTTCTATTGTTCTTGCATGCCCAAGCTAATGTCTGTGTCAGTTATAGGTCACTTTTGATATGTTGGTCTTCTACTCATTCTGGGTCTGGAAATGTGGGAAGCAAAACTGCAAATAACTGCCAATGAGGAGGAACTACTATGGGAGTCACCACATACCTGTATGGAAGTACGGCTAGTGCTCTGCAGAACCAGATTTTACATTTATTTTACACTTAAATCCACATGTGGCTAGAGAAAATTCTTTGAAAGATTGAACAATCTTTAACAATACTTGTCCCTAGAGACAGACAGCTCCAAAAGCAAATCCTCACTCCTCTTTTCCTTCATCCCTCCCATCAAGGGAAACCTAATCGTCCTAGATGTATTTTTCTTGAGCTACTCCGACATTCCTACCTACTCTAATATCTTTCTTCCTTCTCCTTCAGGATATTTCCTTTTGTCATCATGAGCTCTGAGAAGGAACCTCAGAGAATGCCCAGAATAGACATCTCAAAGTAGTAGCACCCAGAGTGAATTTAGTCCATAGGTTAATTTAAAAATATTTGAGTCAATGTTTAAAAATTGAGATATATCACATAAAACCCATATTTTCAGCTACTCATGGTAAATTTGAAGATTGGACATCAACGGGTCCACATTGGTTGATGCTGAGTAGCTGTAGCATTTTTCGAATGGGACCTGACATCAGTCCCCACCATCCCCTATTGTTTCACCAACAATGAAAGCTTTAGGATGGTTATTTTTTAATCCTAACTGTGCTATACAATCCTCCTTCTAGCAGAGGATTACATCTCCATAGTCACCTTTTATTCAAAGGTGGTAAAATGAAAGACAAATCCACAGGCCTTAGTTTTCTAACCTGGCCTATTTACACATTCATATCACCTGTCTGGCTCCTATAGGTATTTGAGTAGGTGAGACCTTCATTAGAGGAATGAGAAGGACAGGTCACAACATGTGTACCACAACTTCTCATTTCAGCACCCACAGCAGACATCGGTAATCAATCACAGCAGACATCAGTAATCGATCACGGCTCCCTTTCTCAAGACTCCTCTAACACAATGCCCCTGACAGCCATTCCCTAGCAGTTAGTATTGACCTCCACCCCCATCCTTCAACTGCTTTAATTCTCATTTTGCTGAGCTGGAAATGGAGGTACAGAAAACTCAAGCCATCATCAAGTCGACGGTGACACCATGATGAAACCTCAAGCCTCCTGACCCTGGTACCATTTTCACAGGCCCAAGCTACCCCGTCAGGAAGACGCTAAATGAAAACATGGTTCCAGCTTGAGTTTGTCCTTGACAAGACAAGAGCATCCACCTACCAGCGGGGCTGTCTGTGGCTTCCTTTCTCTAAGTCACCATGAGACCCCTCTTCCCATGGCTGCCGTTGTCCTCACCCATCCTACCTGCCTTCCTCGTTCAAGTGACTGGTTACGTGCTACTGACTCATCTACCCCGTCAGTTAACTGACTCCCCGTTCCAAACTCTGCCTCCCAAACTGCCCCTGGAGTCGGGGAGTACTTACGGTACCCGGAGCTTAGGGAACTTCTGGATGTCATTTTCTGTCAGGTTCTGAAAGGAAGACACATGTGGCAGACAGGTTACAACCCACAGGCACAAAGTCACACGTCAGACACTAGACAGTAGAGGGGAACAGAGCACCCGAAGAGCAGCCCGGATCTACTTTTCCAAAGGGAATCCCAAATTTCTTAGGTGAAACAACCCAAATCCTAAATGTTGACAGATAATTCTGAATTCAATAACTAAATAATTGCAGCAAGGTCTAAATCTGTGCAACCAAACAGAATTGGTTTTGTGGGCTGATTTAGCCATGTCATGAATGTTTCCTACACTTCTATCCCAGGATTCAGAGCCCTCCTCAGTTTTCCTGAAGGGGTCTTGGCAAGGTGCTGGTTGGATTTATCTGATCCAGCTCTTTGGAGGAGTTTCTGACCCGGCTTATCAGACCTCCTGAGGCAGGATGGAGAGGGTGAAGGGTGTCAGCCAAAAGTCCAGAGGAGATCAGGCTTTGGCCAGGCCTGCTTTCTCTCCTCCCTCCCTCCTCCTCCTCACCACTGAGCATCAGCATCTCCTTCCTCCAGAATGGTCCTACCTCAGGGTGACACATTCACCATCCACCATGCGCCTCCTGCCCTTTCCCTTCCTCCTGTCTGTAGTGCACACTGAGGCCTGGAGTTGAAGTAGCCAGCTAAGAACCTTTAGTTCAGGAGCCACCAATTTTTCTGCAGGCTGAATGGAGCCTGGTTTCTTGATGACTTCCTTGAGCATCTCACCAGCTGGAGCACCCACCTGTACCTTTCTTATTACTTGAGAAAGATCAACCCCTAAGCCACAGTGGTCAGGTTTTGGCGATGTACAGAAACATGTAGTAAGCACACTTCCTCTCTGGCTCATGCCTTCGGGAAGCATAGGAACCCCTTCCCCAGCACACCGGATTCTATCAAAAAGTGGTGGCAAAACAGATTTAGAAGACCTACTACTCTGAGAAAGGAAGGAAGGAAGGAAGGAAGGAAGGAAGGAAGGAAGGAAGGAAGGAAGGAAGGAAGGAAGGAAAGAAGGGAAGGAGGGAGGGAGGGGGCAGAAACGAAGGATAGCTAATTCCTTCAATAGCAGAATGGCCCTGGGTGTTCTAAAGATGGAAGGGATAACAGATGATCCACTGGAGCTTAGACCAGGAGTTCCAAATTGTACCCAGAGCACTTGTGATAGAGGGTGGATTTCATAGAACCTGCCTGTAAATATTCCAGTTCCTAGAGCAGGCACTGAATTCTGCGACCTACTCTTATGCTCCTATCACCCCTCCTGTCACTTTCTCATGGTCACACAATGAGTGGAATGTGTGCATTCTCCAAAGGACTGATGGATGCCAAAGAGTGGAGCAGAGCAGGTGTCTGCTCAGATGACATCTCTCATCCAGGGAAACAATGGTCCTACCACACCTGACACCCACGGAATCAAGGAGGTGAGAGGAACCATCATCTGCTGTGACCCCATGTGACATGCTCAGTCAACAGATGAGGAAGCAAGGGAGGCTCAGAGAGGGCAAGGGCTTGCTCAGGGTGGCCCACCAGCCAGGACCCTCCTCAGAGACATCTCCCTCAATTCCCACTCAACAGCGATGCCTCTTTTCTCAGTGCTAAAGGTACAAGAAAGAAATATTTGTGTTTTGTAGTAATTTCAAGAATAGCAACAGCAGAACTCCAGGAAGTCTATTGGCTTAAAGCTCAGTATGAGCAAATAAAATTGTTAAAAACCCATACAATATTAGAGTAAAGTGATTGTGTGATTAGGTTGTGATAAGTAACTGTGTACCAGGGCTGTGACTTAGGACAAATCTCATCGCACCTCTGCACATGTTTCCTTATCTGGAAATGAGGTGGTCGGAGGCCTTCCTGAAGATTGCTTTCTCCTATAAAATGAGCTTCCAGAGCCAGGAATCATGTCTTAATCACCTCTTCACCCATCACACAGCAGAGGCCAGCATGGAGGAAGAGCTCAGGGAAGTGCTTGTCAAGGGAGCCCATGATGAGGGAATGAATGACTTAGCTGGGTGGCCTGACATGGCTCCTGAGAGCAGAACTCAGACTAACGCGACTCCATGTTTAGTCTCAGCACAGGACCCAGAGGTGCCCAGAAAGGGCAGGTGACTATGGGTGGTTGGAAGCTCACTGTTCCTAAAGAGATTTCAGCAGTTGTTGGTGGCGGGGGTGCCATATAAGACTGGGATGGGTGTGCTGAGGGGCCACTGTCATGTGATCGCTTGGTCCCTTCTGCTGGCCTGAAGTCTCATGTTCTTTACTGACCACACAACTTAGTTTGTCCTCCTCACTCTGAATCCTGATTGGAAACACCGTACACCCACAGGACCCTTGAAGTCTTGTTCCATTTCTTTACTAAGGAGTGGGGCAGAGTGCCCAGAGGGTGGCTTGGTACAGCCCAGGCTCTCTCTTGACCACAGGCCAAGTATCCTCTCCAGGGAAATTCTCAGATCCCCTCCCTGACCACAGCTCAGTGCCCCTGCCTCCACCTTTGGAGTTGGACCCTTTCCTTTAATGGCTTGGTCCTTAAGTGTCCCTGCACTTCAGTCTTACACTTTATTTATTTTATTTAATTATGTATTTATTTTGTGGTGCTGGGTTTGGAACCCAGGGCTTCGTGCACGCTAGGCAAGAGCTCTGCCACTGAGCTATATTCTCAGCCCTTCATAAAGCTTTTAAAACTATAATACACTGAAGACAGCATTATCAAAAGTGTGTTTGGTATGTGTATGAACTCACTAGTGAGGAAGAGGAGAGTAGTTGAGATAACGAAGGTGATGTCCCCCCACAGGGACCAGGTAGACCAGCTGGCCCTACAGCCATTGGGAAAAGCATAGAACATCCTTGGCTTCAATGCATCCAACTGGCCAGAAACTTACCAAAAACCGAGCACCATCGATGTTGAACCTCTTCACTGCCTTCTCGCAGTCCTTGTAGTTCAGCTGCAGGGAGAGAGGAAGGTGTCAGTGACAGGCAGGCTCCCGCCATCGGTTTCCCTCCCTTGCCTGCCCCAGAGCTTAGTGATTTGCAGTCCTGGTGGCTGGAGAGCCTCCCCTTCTCCCCGTCTAACAGTGGGGCTTGGTCCCCAGCGCAGCCCTGCTGTAGCCACTCCCTTGAGACTGCCTGAAATTGAGGAATTGCTCGCCCTCGGGTTCTGGGGCTGAGCCCTCAGGGAAGATATTGCCTTTGAGGCCCATGAGAGGCCGGCCATATACTCCCGGGGAAGTGGAGAGGAGCTGACAGCAGAAAAGAAGCACCATCCATGGTCTTGTCCCCAAAGACCACCTTGGTGACCTCGCTGCGTCTCCCATAGTCCTTCTTCCCTTGCATTTTTCTGAACATAGTGAGATGATGATTTCTCCTCTCTGCCTTTTTCCTTCTAAAGTACTAAAAATAAGAATACCAGCTCTGCCTACTGTTATGACAGACTCGTTTTAAACGCGATTTTAATGGCCACAAGATGATTTAATCACCCCCTTACTGCTGAACATTTAGGTTGTTTACCAAACTGCCGCTCTAATAATGAAAATTAAAACTGCCAATTAATACCAAATGCTTGCTCTGTGGCAGGCACAGTTCTGAGTGCTGAAACCATTACTTTAAGTCACTTAGTCTTCCCGCTTTTCAGATGAGGAATCAGGGCTCAGAGAGTCAAAGAACTTGCATGAGATTCCTTGGGTTGCCAGTGATGGAGGTGGCACTCGGACTCCAGAGCATGGCTTTTAGTCTGTCAGGGACATCCTCCCCCCTCCTGTCCCCCCCCCCCCACACCCCACCTTAACCCTCCCCAGGGCCCCCCCCCCCCCCCCCCCCCCCCCCCCCCCGCCCCCGTGATGCTGAGGATTGAACCCAGGGCCTTGCGCATACAGCAAGCATTCTACCAACTGAGCTATAGCCCCAGCCCCAGGAACATTCTTTTCAATAACAATATTACTTACATATGGTAGGTGAAGTTAAACAAATATAAGTACAGTTTAATAATCCACCCAGATCAAAATATAGAGCACTATGAATATTCTTTTGCATGAGTTTTAATCTGACTATTTAAGATAAGTCAGATTCTCAGAAAGGTTGTAGGATCAATAGCAATAATCATTTTTAGGGTCTAGGTTACTTTGCAAAACCAACTGGTAACTGTGTGAAGGACCTATTTCACCTTGTCCTCAATAACTCAAAATATCTCTAAACCTCTAAACTTGATGTCTGGAGTACTGAGTGTTAAATATTTGTCCTTGGGGGTTCTAGGTTCTCCTCCAAAAGCATGGGCCTCATAGTTTGTAGCCTTCTTTGAGGACAAGTTCAGGGCTGGGGATGTAGCTCATTGGCAGAGGGCTTGTCTACCACATGTGAGGCCCTGGAGTCAAACCCCAGGCCAAACCCCCCAAAATTCAGTGAATCTAATTTAATTGAAGTAAGTTCTTATCTCATGGCCAACATACATTTAAAGTAAATACAATTGTTGTCACCATTTGATTGAAAGAGCAGAATGAATGTTATATTCAGAAAGCTGGGTTAGAGCTCAGTGCTTAAAGCACTGTGGACCCTGGCCTCTCTGATCTACATGCAGGCGGTTTTTTGGAAGAGTCAGTTGACTTTAATTAATCAGTTTTGCTGTCATCATTATCAGATGAATGGCTGGTTTTTCAGAGTCCCAGCTTGGACTCTAGATCCTTAGATAGACCTCCAGACTAGAATCTAGACGTTGGATTCCTAACCCATGAGATCTGGGCTGGGTCCCTGGAGTCTGTATTCTAACTAGCATCATCTGTGATTCAGATGACCGTCCAGGCTTGGTAGCACTGACCTAGGGAAGTTACCTGGCTTTGTAGGTGGAATGGCTGAGGTCCAGGAGGGGAAAGATCTCTCCTAAGCTCACACAGTGAGCTGGGAGCTGCGCTGGGATTGGAACAATGGCTGGGAGTCAGTGCCCACCCCCCCACATTGCACAGCTTAGGGTGCTCTCCTGGCAGGCCCAAAGGAATTGGAGGAGTTAGAGGTCTCATGTCCTCATGTCCTCAGGGTCCTACATGTCAGATACAGGATGAGACCCACGTGTCTGAGGCACTGGACACAAAACTCTGCCAGTCTGTTTGGTTGTTCCCAAATAGGGGCCAAGTAATGGACCAGGAGCTGGGGAAATTGAATATTAATTAGGTCCCTCTCTCTGCTGACTGCCTTGGGCACATTATTTTCTTTAATCCTCATGGTCATCCCATTGGTTAGTTGTTAGTATCTCTATTTTCTTGGGGAGGGATTTAAGAATCAAAGAAACCCAAGGAGGTCACCAAGCCAGCAGATGGCAGCGGCAGGATTCAAACCAAGTCATGCCTGACTCCAGAGGTGGTGGAAGGTGTCCTGGAGCATGGCCTGACCCTCTGCTTCTGTGGACATTGCACTGTTGACCGATGCTTTAAATGGCTCATTCCAAACGACTCTGTGGTCAGTTTCCCTGGTCAGCTCCCTCCCTGGGGGCTGGGGCTAAGGATGTGAAGGTCTCTATCCAGCTCAGTGCTGGGCTGGGACTTCCAAGAACACAGGTCACCCTCAGCCCCCTTGTCCTTTTATTTCAGGAGGGGAACTTGCTCCAGCACTGTGCATTCCTGCTGGGGTCTGGGATCTCTGAGAACTCCTTCCCCAACTCAGGCAGTCTGGTGTCTCCCTGGATCATCCCTGACTGTGGGCCGTCTGCCTGCTCCGCTGGGAACTTGACCAATAGAACCTCAGTCATTCAACCGGGTTGTATAATTTTCCTGGTCAGCCTTGAAGATGGCGCCTGCCTGAGCCCCTCCGCCTCTCCCCAGACTTTGCCTCCATGACCCTAAATTCCTTTGTCCTTCCTTCCATGAGCTAATGGGTCATCTTGGAAGTTTTCACCTTTTGTCCTGACCTGTGGTCTACCTTGAGAAAAGCACTTGGAAATGCTATTCGGAAGTCAGCCGCCAGTGATCTTTGTGCCTACAATGCTGAAAGCTAGGTTTATGATAACTTATGGGGGAAAGTAACAGAAATAAAATGCACAAAAAAGTGGCAATAACAGGATCTGCGGGCTGAGGCCCCCCATGCCACACCCAGCTCAGTACGCTAGCACTTTCTCCTATAGGTTGGGGAAGAACAGTTGTGACTGTAAACACCATCGCACTGAACAGATCCCAGGTTTGACCACGTGTCCCAGGGAGTCTATTCCAGCCCCTTGGATCCCAGTTTGCCCAGGAGAAATAAGAAGTTGAATTAGATGAGTTCTATGGTCTTAGCTTTATCATCGCATCTGTATAGTGGTCTGGAAGATCAACTGAATTTGATGCCAGCCTGCATGGAAGGGGGTGTCAGAAGCTCAAAGACGTGTCATAAGACATTTTGCCCCATAGACAGGGGTAGAGGGTCTCTAACCGAGTCACATGACTTGAGGTCTGCCCAAGCAGCGATGTGGTCCCCATCAAGATGATCATGCCTTGAACATGCCTTCCAAGTTTGGAAGGTCAGAGAACAACACTGGTCACCGCTCTGCCAGAAGCTTAGCTTCTGCCTCTGCCTCGCTGAGCCCTACGCCTCCAGGGGCTCAATTTCCCTCCCCTATTCCTGCTACTCTTAGCAGTTTTCTGCTTGTCTCTGGAGACTCGTGAAACTCCAGTGAGACTCTGGCTGATGACAGAGCTTGAGGACTTCTCTTTCAGGGCCATGAGCAATGAATGCCCAAACACCATAAGTAACATGATTCCCCATGGCCCTCCATCCGTCCCTCCTCCCCTGCCCGTGCCTCCCCTACTTCAGGACTTTGTTTGCCCTGTCTAGTAAGCAGACTTGACCTCATTAGCCGTCATAGCAGTTTTCCGCATCTCAGAGCAAGAACTTGGAAACCAAAGTGGCACCGCTCGACTCCTGCCTCCGACACATGTGGTCCCTGGGGCTTTGGGCCATTTAACCTCCCAGGGCTGGTTTTGTAGCTCAGCCAACAGGCTGACAGTATTGACCTCACAAGACAATGGGGCATGTGCAATGGGACAGTGGCTATATAAAGCACCCAATTCAGATCCCAGCACACAGTAGGGATTCGAAAGCTCCCTCTCCAGAGCATCTTTCCCTCCAGAACCCATTGCCAGGGAAACACAGTGCTCTCCACAGCACCCACTTGGCCAACAAGGTTGCCTGAGGTGAGTGCCTTGCTGTCTTAGACTCCTCCCGGGTTCTGCCCGGGTCCATCTCCAAGCCTCCACCAGCTCACAGAGGGCACTAGCAGCCCGACCACCTACAAAACAGCAGGGCTCACCTTCTTGAAATAGTCCGCAAGGCTGTCCGAGTCCCAGGCCAGGACCTCTGAGCGGAAGGGCACATTCCTGAGTGCCATAGCTGTTGTCCTGGCAGGAAGCTCACTAGCTGGGCTGAGGTGCAGCACCCATGGACCGAGAGAACCCCTAAATCCACAAGTTGAGGTGTCCTTGGCTCTTCCAATTCCCAGCCACCCTCGGGAGCACCCCTCGTTGGAGCAGGGGCCGTTTCTGCCGTCGCCAGATCCCAGAAAGCAACGGCTTCCTCTGCAAGCAAATATGGTCTCTTCTCAGAAAACGACTCAGCCAGCTTCCTTTACCACTTCCTCTGCTGGCTTCTAAATAAGTAAACAAGGAAGCTGGGCTCCGGGGGCTCGAATGCAGAGAGAGGAGACAGGCTTGGTAATTCCCCACTGGCCCCAGTCACCTGGCCCAGTGGGAGGGCAGTGATGGAGACCTAGGCTGCAGGGTCAGTCCCAGTATTTTGCCTTCTACTCTTGGCCCCCAAAGCCCTGGACCACTCTCCTGCCTAGCTAGGGCTTTACAGATACAGATCTACTTTGACAGTTGACCTAAAATAGAGACAATTCCTACATTACTGAGCTGGGGGGAAGAAGATGGCCTCTTAGTGCCTCACAGCCTCCTCCCCTCCTAACCCTCCATTTCCATCCAAAGATCTTCAGCGGCCTCTTCACTTCTTTCAGGATGAGGGGGTCTTGGGTGAATGGCGAGTTGGGCACCCAGGGTTGCACGGGCCCCGCGGTGGGGAGAGCAGGGCTCACTGCCTAGTGTGAAGGCTTCTGGGCTGAACAGTCTTAGGCAAGGACTGAAAATCTAGGCCTCTCAGTTTCCACAGCTGTGAAGAAAGAAAACCGGGATTCTATGTGCAACGTTGAGATGCATTTCACTGGATATACTTAAAGGGAAAAATCAGAAAGAAAAAATTTAACAATTTCTATTTGACGGTGCTATATTTTCTATTCACTGGGTTTCCACCTTATGTGCTGACTGTTGGCTCCTGTGTTCTACTGATCCTACCACATATTCTAGCCAAGGAGCACATCCCCTGAGGTAGGAGATGGGAATCTGCTGCTTTCTTCCTCCGTCTGGGATTCTGTGTACTTCTCATAGACTGAGCAGCTCGTTGGCATGGGGGAGTCCTGTGTCTAAAAGCAAAATGTCCATGCAACATGGTGGCCTCTAAATACAAGTTCACTTCTTCATCCAAAGCTCCACGCATGTGTAAGCCCACACGCGCACGTGTGCGCACACACATGCACCATCTGTCACAGTGTCAGAGGAAGGGGTCAGCCTCTCTGCTTCTACTGAGTGGTCCTCTGTCAGTGCCCACGGTGATGCCTGCCTTCTGAAGGCCTTTCAAAATCAGATTTGGCCACCCATGGTTTCCATCTTCCATGTCATCTCGGGGACCCCGTTATTGCTGCCATGTGCCTGTCTCACTACAGGGTTGTGGAATTCAGGGAGATGTGCGTTCAGTCTCAGTCTCAGCACTTGGAAAGTGGTTCCAAAATGGTGAGCAGCTGTTAGCCTCACTTCTGAGGGCACCGGGACATCAATCCAGGCTCTCCACAGGGTGTGGTCTCTAAGAGCTCTCTACAACCTAAGAGCTCGCCCTGGTGAGGGACCTCACTTCATCTTCCCAATCACTGGCACAGCAGGCATTTGAAGACGGAGGGAACAAGAGAAGTCATGTTCAAGTAGAATAATCAAAGACAGCGTCACCACATGAACTGGGATTTGAGGAAGACCTTGGAGGATGGAGCCGACAGAGGGAATCCTGGACCTCAGTCAGTCAGTCCTCTCTCAAAACACAGCACCCGTGGAAAGCAACATTGCAGACCATCTCAGAAGTTGAAGCAATAATAATTTTTAAATGATGTTTATCCCAACTCAGGAGAAGAAAAAAAACTATGGAAAAGCAGCAGTTGGAATGAAGCTGTCATTAAATATTAGGCTCCTCTGGAAGAAGTATCCAATAAAAAGTGGCTGAGATGAACAATCCCTGGAGCTCAGTGAGAAGGGGTCCCCCAACGGCTCAGAACCCTGGATGACAATGATGATGATGGCGACCACACTTAGGCAGAGCCCTAAGCCCGTGCCAGGCAGTGAGCTAGGAACGTCCCTCTGACCGTGTCCCCTGTGGGCACTGCTGTTACTCCTGCTTCACCACAGAGAAGACAGGCTCAGAGAGGGAGGCGAGGGGCCTACTTCCTGCTTCCCGCCAGCAGGCTGTGCAACCAGGTCTCACCCAAAATGTGTCTCAGTCTCAGCCCCTGGGCCCTTGCCATTTGTCCCCTCAAGACTCTGAGAAGTCACGTGAGTTGCCCAAAGTGGAGTCGGGGTTCAACCCAGGTTTCTCGCCTGAGCCTGTGCAGACCCCCTCTATCCACGAGGCAGTCACAGTGTCTCCCAGGAAGAGCAAGTGAGGCCGTCAACCTCCTCTGGATGTGAACAAGCTCAGAAATGTCTACCGCACTTCGTGTGCAGGAGGCGGGCGGGTGTCTGTGCCCGCTCCCCACACAGAGCAGCCAGGCCTCCATAGCAGGTGACGTAGGGGAAGCTGGTTGCGTCAGGCCTTTCCTCTTCCCCAGTCTCTGGTGGGCAGGTTACCCAATACTCACAAGTTTCACATCTCCTGGCCCCAGAAGGACAGGGCCACTTAGCCCCCAGGGAAACCAGGAGGGTCAGTAAGGCCCTGTGCAGGCAACTCATGGGAGCCAGCCTCAGTTTCCTCACCTGGAAAATGGACAGTCCTGAGAACAGTCTTACACAGTGACAACGCTGTGAAAATGCCACCTCAGTTCGGTTTAGAGCATAGGTCTGTTGTCTTCGAGCATGAGGCAGAGTAGGGGTGGGGACCAGGGAGGGCACAGTGCCTTAAAACAGTAAGCAACTCGAGCTAGGATACTCTCTGCCATCCCATCCCACAGTCTCCCTTCGCCAGGTGGAAAAACCCAGAACTCACGAGGGAGCAGGTCAAAAGGACCACGAAGTCCTTCCCAGTCTTGGCAATCTGCACCGTCCCTCGGATCTGCAGCAAATGGGTCGCAGAACCCTCTGTGTATATTGAAATCCCTCGACGCCCGAGTCCCTTATATAAAATGTCACAGTGTCACAGTGTCGGTGTGTAATATTCTCTTATATATCGAAATCATCTCTGCAGGACTTACAATAGTAACAACTACACAAGGAGTTGTTATACCTGATTGTTTAGGGAATAAAGGCGAGAATAAAAGAGTGTCCCAGTCATACAGATGCAATGTTCAAAACTATTTCCCATCGGCAGTCGGTACAGAACCCGCGGGTGTGGAAGGTTGACTATGTACCTCGAGGTTGAGAAGGGGTGGTGGTCTCTGGGCACCCTGAGAACAGCACCGCACTAGTACCCAGGGCAGGATCACAGGATGGGGTCTCTCACGGGCATCCAGGGGTGGCTGTGGACAAGAAGCAACACCCTCAGGGAAGGGCACGTCAGCTCATCAGACCTAGGGTCAGAAATTGGATGCAGGGACAGCGGAGTACAACCCAGATTGGAGGAGCCCCCTTCTCCCCTCTGTCTCCCTGTCTCCCAGACCCACAGCAGAATCGGTGAGCTGACCTCCTTTCTCCAGCTCATGTCAGAGGTGAGAAAAGGGACAGCTCATTAAAAGAGAGAGAGACCTGGGACTTGCAGCCCTTGTGTGTTCAGGTGGGGAGGGGTCTGAGCAGTTTTGCTTGGTGTCCAGTAGAAGGAAAAGTAGGGACTCCACAGAGGATAACGTGCTGAGCTTCTTGGGTCAGGAAGCTAAGGAGTTAGCAGGCAGGTGGGCGGAAGTGCTCGTTTGATCTGATGTGACCAGGGCCTCAACCAGGGCAAAGATGGGAGCTGTGGCCCGCAGAGGGTGAGGACTTGGGGTGCTGCAGTCAGTCAGAGGGTTTCCTCCCACCTTCCTCTCCCTTCACCTCCTCCAACTTCACGTGGCTTGGATTTATCTTCAGAGGCTGAGCTTAGGCTCATTTTGGAACTTTCCGGAGGGTTTGCGTAGGTTTGCCTGTTGAACCACTGGAGACTGCAGCTCTCAATCCCCACAGGGAAGGGACAGTCTCCCCTCCATTCTTAGAGGCAGGCAGCAGAAATAGCATCCGTGCCTGGGGTCATTCCAGATGGCAAGGGGCTCTAGCGGCATGACAGGGCCCAGTGGAGTGAGGGCAGCATAGAGTCCTGAGACACAGGCAGCCCTGCAGGAGGGCACAGAGCCCTGGGGCTGCCTCCGCTGAGGTGCTGGGCAATGGGAAGCCCCAGAGCTCACCAGTGCTCTGCAGGCCCTGGGCTGGGAGGAGACCCCCCACCAGGCCTTCTCCAGACCAGGCCTTGCTCTGCCTTCACAGTGGCCCATGGCCTGCTCCTGCCACAGCCTGGACAGTGGCTCACCTCCCCCGTCCTGGGATAATGCAGGGGGAAAGCATGAGCTAGCCACGTTGGCCAGGCAACCACAGGAAGCAAAATTTTCCACTTCCTCAGAGCTGACAATTTCATTCTTTAAAAAAGATCTTTTTTTTTTTTTTTTTTTTTTTTCATCCTCCTCTGTTTCTCCTGCTTTGCTGTTTGAGCTGAAGTGCCTCCGAAGTTCAAAGGTGAGGGGGAGGAAGTACATATTTGGGCTTCCTGTCTAACCTCCCCTTCTTATCTGCCCTGTTTTTCACTTTGGCAGCCTGAACCCAGATACGTCTGCTGCAAAGAGAAACTCCCAAGTGTTGGTTAAAGGGTGTGGGCAGAGGAGAAGAGGGGAAGGCAGCCTTCTCAGATTCATGGAGGAAACCCCCTGGGCTTCTTCCTCAGCAAGCTGGGGCAGGACAGAGCTGGAGGGAGGGGGGTGGGTATGAGAAAAAACCTGGAGCAGACAAAGGCAAATGTGGCCTAACGTGACTACTTCTCTACAAGGAAGAGCTGGGGCCCGGGATGTGAATACATGCACCCGAGACCAAGGGCACATTTGCAATCACCAAGAATAACAAGAATCAGAGGCTTGGGGTAGGTCTGGGCAGAAGCGGAAGAATCCAGAAAGCACATAATTTTCTAGCAACTATTCCATGAGGACTCAAGAATCCAGAGAGAAGAAATGCTCAGACCTTACACATATTACATCATGTAACTCTGTCATATCTGCTCTTTGTGGAAAGGCTATCAAGTCAGACATACTCATTTTATAGATTAAAAAGGAAAAGCTTATCCAAGGCCTACAGGTGAGCAGAGATAGTCTATAGGCCCTGCAACCAGGTTTGTCCAGTACTAAGATTCTGCCCTGAAAGCTGTGGTTTCTA